GGGCCTCATATAAACAGACACGTCGTTTAAATGACGATGTTAATACGGTCCTCATGCTGTTTATGCGTTCATTACTTAATCGGGAACCATCGTCTAATCGAGGATGCTTTCACCGTCCCCCACTTGTCTCGATAAAGCGGGGATGCTCACATTTTAAGACCGATCGTTCTAATAATTTCGATTCAAGCGTCGGGACTGGCGTAATACGCTCGTTCCGTGTATCACGGACGGTTCGTGCGCGTTGCTGAGCCGCGAGATTGTTGTTTTGCACGCGCTGATTGTTTTCCCCGTTCGTCGCCTGTTCGTGACTTTGTGCAATGAGTGTGAGAGGTGAGTTGTGTGCAGACAGAGAGGGGAGTTGACCTTGTGTGGAGAGTGCGAGGCAAAGTAGTCTTATAGGTCCTGTAATTATGCAGCTCGCCTTATGCAGCCCTAGGTAAAAACTCGTGTTCTCGTTCGTCGGCCCGCAGGCGAGTACACGTGCCGCGCGGAGTTTGACGCGTACATCGCCACGGCGACGCTCGAGTCGCTCGACAACAGTACGGGGATTTTACGCGTCTGGTTCCTGCTGCTGGAGGGGCTGGCGGGAGCCGCCGTGACGTGCCCGCGCGCCTACCAGCCGCACACGCTAGAGCTGCTGTTCAGCCTGCTGCAGGAGTCCGCAGAAGTACCAGGCGAGTTGACATTGTGTGAAGAGTGACAGTTGACCTTGTGTGAAGAGTGACAGTTGACCTTGTGTGAAGAGTGACAGTTGACCTTGTGTGAAGAGTGACAGTTGACCTTGTGTGAAGAGTGACAGTTGACCTTGTGTGAAGAGTGACAGTTGACCTTGTGTGAAGAGTGACAGTTGACTTTGTGTGAAGAGTGCGAGTTGACCTTGTCTGAGGAGTGCGAGTTGACCTTGTGTGGAGGGTGCGAGACGAATTTAACCTTGTGTGGAGAAGTGAGAGGCGAGTTGACCTTGTGTGGAGGGTACGAGACGAATTTAACCTTGTGTGGAGAAGTGAGAGGCGAGTTGACCTTCTATGCCGAGTCCGAGTGACAGAGTACCTTAAAGGTCATGTATTATGCAGCCTGCCTTATGTAGTACTGGGAAAAAAACTGTGTGGAGAGTGTGAGAGGCAACTTGAGCTTGCGTGAAGAGTGCGATATATGCTATTATGTGCGATAATTCATCTGCTTAAACACCTTAATATAGCGCGTTTTTACAAATTTAGAAATCATGATAATAATAATTATATAAATTTATAATCAAACTAATAACCAATGATAGTATATCACGGTAGCGGCCGTATATTGTATTACGACCGTGACTCAATAATTAATATAAATTAATCAATACGTAACATGTATAAATTAATAATAATTAATTGTAATTAATATTGTAAAACTAGGAGTGACGTTTGCCGTCTACTGCGTCAACCACCTGCTGCTGCCGATGCTGCAAGGATGGATGCGGCGGAACTCGCAGGTGAACGGATTCTGGGAGAGCTCGGTGACGACGAACTTCAAGCAGAGCTTCGGCATGTGTTCCGACATCGTCATGAAGTTCGTGACGACGTACACGGGTGAGTCGTGATGACGTACACGGGTGAGTCGTGATGACGTACACGGGTGAGGCGTGATGACGTACACGGGTGAGTCGTGATGACGTACACGGGTGAGTCTGGGTGGTGTACACGGGTGAGTTGTGATGACGTACACGGGTGAGTCGTGACGACGTACACGGGTGAGTCGTGACGACGTACACGGGTGAGTCGTGACGACGTACACGGGTGAGGCGCGACGACGTACACGGGTGAGGCGTGACGACGTACACGGGTGAGTCGTGGCGGCGTACACGGGTGAGTCGTGGCGGCGTACACGGGT